AAATTCTCATCACAACTGAAACAGAAATGAGCAAAAGACTGGATCTGATAAATAAGTTTAAAAGAAATGAGATCCTCTCAAGGCAGTACCTAGAAACACACGCTCAGTCCCTAGCCTCAGAATATAGTCTACAAGCCAAGGCCCTCTCCCGACAGCTAGTGAATACAAAACCCAATCATAATAATCAGCTAGCAACCCAAACAGCACGGGACTCAAAGGGCCAGCCTTTAGGGCCGTATTTTAGAGTGAGAGTTTCCAAAGGAGTGAAACATCCTCGGTTTTGAAGGAGTAAATATTCTAGTTGCTGAGAAGGTAGAAAGAACACCGTAAGTTCACGTTGGACACGCAGTTGAAACTGTACTGTCATGTTTCTAGTTTTCAAAGTGAAAGTAAACATGACAGGTGCTCATTTAGCTGTTCAAGCACTTTCCACTTAAATGGCAATTCCTTAAGCTTACCGACTGCAGCCTGAAGTTAGAATTTATTACTGTTGCTGTACTATTCCTTCACCTCGGCAGAAAACAGAACACAGCACCTACATTTCAAGACGAGTGGCAATAAAGCATAATTATTTTGAATTTATGATTGAACCATAAATTACATGTTCATTTTACTTCAGTTGGTCACTCTGAGGTTGAGGGAGGAAGAAAGGGGGTAGTTCCAGGAAGAAATAACAAAAGCCTTTTGCTTTGAGTAAAACGTCTTAACTTGAAGAATTTATGACAATACCAGTCTCCAAGTTAAGTCCCTTGGGGACCCCCAGTTAAGAGGTTTTAAAATCTTAGTAGCCTCTGTTCTTCCAGCTCACAGAGCCACAGACTCCAACTACAATGCCCACGTTGATGCCAGAAGACTGAAGCCTGGTGTCTTTTCAGGTTATACCACGCTTTTGACATCTATGTGTCAAACATTCACAGTGTTCTGGGTCTTGCTGTTTCTCAGCCACAGCCACGTCAAGGAAGGTGAATCTCTTTTTTAAAAGACTACTGGTCAGACTAAAAGTAAACTGAGCCTGAACCACAGTAAGACTGTGGTTACCACAGAATTCTGATTCAACAATGGCTAGATGTTAATGCTTCTCACCCTCAAAGATCAGTTGTTGATATTTCCCTTTCTTGTAGCTATGGAAATATATGTGTACCAGTCAGCTACAAAATGTGTGAAACACAGGGTGTGCAGCAGAAGAGAACACGGCATTTGGTCCCCGTTCGTCATGTGCTCACTTTTGTTGGTATGGGTTCCCAATATACCACCACCCAGGTCCTTAGCTTCATAATAACCCCCTACGTTTGAAGTGTAGTTTGCAAACATTTTCCCATATAATCGTCACAATAGCTCTGGGAATCACATACCCATTTTACAGTGGAGGCAGAGACAAAAAGAGATCCCAACCATCTACAGTCACCAGATTAAGACAATGAATCTGGAACTTGGTCACATGACAGTAAATCCTAAACTGTTTTCATTATTCTACCTTAAACCCTTGGTGAGATAAAGCAAAATTCCAAAATCCTCCAGTCTATATTTCAATTTACTAACCCCACCCACATCCCCGCTTTTTGGTAGTGGAGTCCTTACTGGGCAGCTGAGGTTTTAAAATAGTTGATTATTATAGGAACAGATAACTCAAAACGAGATTTAGTTGGGCTTAAAGACACAAAAGAGACCAGAGAGAATAGAGTAGACATGTAAAAACAATGAATTAATTAAGGAGTGTTGGGGGTGGAGGCTGGGGAGAGGTTTGCCCCAAATGTTTACCTAGTCCTTCCCTTGTCCTGAAATACCCTACCTCCACACTCAGCCCCTGGTTAATGAACATTAATTTGGTTGATGTCCCTCAAACTGTATAATCTCTTCCACAAAAAAACCCACACTTTGTCTCCATGCCACAAAGTAAGTCTCTAACTCCTCAGCCACAGTCAGTCTATGGAAAACATCTGTGGTACAATAAATCACCCTAGTCTGAGAAACACCCGAGACCGACAGAGAGAGTGTGTGTTTTCCTAAGTGTGTATTGAAGTCCTAGTTGGAAAATTAGTGAAAATTGTAAATCTGTTTGCAAATCTGGTCATGTCTAACTCTGAGATTAGGGCAAAGATTGCAATTTAAAAGTAAAACCGTGACAACCCCAGTTAAGTGTGGCCTCAGGCAACGCCAGCAGGGCCTTCACTCACTTCCACGGGCAGTGGATTTATTACAGGCACCCGCCACGTTCCTGAGCAGACACCCCTGGAGTCTTGACTTGAGACACAGGGTTCAGTCTGCACTTCCTCTGCAGACCAATATATTATTATAAATGGAGCTAAACTGCTTCCTTTTCCTAAGTGCCGTGAAGTTCAGATTTCAGGTAGCAGCAACACAGCTAAGGTCTTTCCACGGGGCTCCTTTGCTATTTGGATTCAAACGTTAGAAGAAAAGGTAGTTTTTGACCGCGGTTACTTTGAGTTTCATTTTGTTTTGTTCTGTTTAAAAGGTGATGGAGGAAGATTCATCTGAGAAATCAAATATGAACTCTTAATAAGAAAAGATATTCTCAAGGTAGGCTTTGAGTACACTGTGTTGCTAGGCACAGCTCAGTAGGATCCCAGCTATTTCAATTAGCTACAAGAGCTAATAAAATAACTTCTGTTCTATTTTAATGTATGTTTCTGATAACCACTTAAAAGAAAAGTGTAATTACTTAGTACTGGCATTATTAATCCATGTCTGAGGCAAGAAAAACGTATCTTTTAAAAAGAAATGTATAAGGAAAACAAACAGAACCTCTTCCTGAACAACTGGTATCCTAAAACCATTAGGTACAGTAGAGAGAGGCGCTCAGGCTGGGGACATGTGTGGGAGGGCAGAGCCTCAGTTGGGGAGGAAGGGAGAAGGGCATCCCCATGTCAGAGTATGGTAAATGACAAGTTCTAATTCCTGCCTCTTACTAGCTGTGCAACCATGCCTAAGTAACTTCCTCCCACCTCTATGTCTTCTTTTGCAATCAAGTAAGTATCTGTTTCTCTGGGTTATTGAGAAGATTAAAGAAACGTTTACTTGTAACCACCAGGACATATATAAGTATTTATAGGAAGAAACACTAGAAAAGACCATACTAAATCAGACACGATGGTCTGATTTTGAGATTCTTTTATCATTTCTACTTTCAGAGCTAATTTTCCCTAAAATGAGCATGTTTTAATTCAGCAAAGAACACATGTTGTTGTTGCTGTTGTAAAGTGCTGTTGAGTCGACTCCGACTCATAGTGACCTGCGTAAGGTTTCCGAGGAGCAGCTGAGAGGTTTGAACTGCTGACCTTGTGTTTCATAGTCCAGTGCTAATCCTACAGTACCATACCAGGAGTCCAGAGAATACATATTGTTAAACAAATGGGTGGTAGTAGAACTTTGACACTGAGAACTTATTACCACGTTGTTATTGCCATTAAATGCTGTCGAATAGATTCCAAATCATATCGACCCAGTACAGGGTTTCTGAGGAGCAACTGTTGAGTTTGAACCGCCAATCTTGTGGTTCAAACTGACCTTGCAATCCTGTGTTTATCCTATAGCTACATACCAGGGCTCTATAGATCTTTTACACTGAATATTTATTACCACTGTTGTTGTTGTTATGTGCTGTGGAGTCGGTTCCGACTCATAGCGACCCTGCACAGAATTTCTGAGGCTGTTAATCTTTATGGGAGCAGAACGCCTCATCTTTCTCCCATGGAGCAGCTGGTAGTTTCGAACTGCTGGCCCGATTCGTAACCACTATGCTACCAGAGCTCCTTCCACTAGATCCAGAAAAAAATAATAAAGCTTTTCAAAAATGGTACCATTTTGACTCTCATTTTTTAAATTACTAACTGAAACTCCTGGAAAAAGTGACCAAGAGAATAGAGTTTATTAAGAAATGAATATCCATTTACTCTTAAGCCAAATCATAATGTTTGGAGGTAACCATCTAATGAACTTCCAAGCCTCCTGCTAACATAAAAACCCAAATCTGAGATTGGTAACATTATATAGCCAGCATCTCTTTAAAAGTTCCTCAACTCCTTTGTAAAAAGCACAGAATAGGACTCGACTCAACATCTTTGGCAAACAAAAGTAATAGATAACATAGAAGCAAATACTGTTGAATAATGATGCACAGAGGAGATTGTAATCATTGCAATGAAACCATGGGTGTAAACTGATGTTTTCCCATGTAAACTAATCACTCAATTCACAATAAAAACTTAAAAAAAAAAAAAAAAAAGCAATAGGTAACAATGCTGTTTTAGTGAATCACTGAAATTTGGAAAATACCTGAAGAGCTCTGAAATCTTAAAAAGCAAGGACCAAATGGATTCATCCCTGTCTCCCTCAAAACTGTACACAGTGCCTAGAGATAACGCCCAATGTATTAGAAATTAATTCATATCATAAGTTCTATACTTGACCCCTAGTGCTTCCTGGCTCCACAACCAACTCATGAGCACAGCCCTCAAGTAGGTAGGAGTGAGGTAAACTCTGAGCAATCAGGAGCTAGAAACAGCGAGAATGAGCCCTAAGAAAATCTGTGAGTAACAAGGCGTACTGTCTATACACTGTGAACTATAAAACTAGTAGGAAATCCAAACTAAAACACTTAAGAGCAAAGAAGCAAAAAGAAAGACTATGGCCCTCCCAGTTTCAGATAACCTAATCACAGATGAAACATCCTTTCCCCAAGAACCAGTGGAAACAAACGAGGCCTGGTTGTTAGCTCTGTTGTTACTGAGAAGAAACTAAATGCAAAACGAGAAAAAGCTCTCGTGTTTGTGGGAATCTTTCCACAGAGTAAAATATTTCAGAAACATCACACTGATAAATTAGTAGTATCTAAAAACTAGCTCCATGTTTTTATAAAGAAATGCCATTTTTACTATAAATGTTTGAAAAGCTTACTGCAAAAGGCATATTCAAAATATGCACCCAACAACCTAAATGCGTGCAGTAGAACATCATTATCATCCTGATTCTCCTAAAATTACCAAGCATAAAGTAGCAGTCTCCTTGGTGAAGGGGTATTGCCAAGCCTGGAGTCTCTATGTCCCATGAGATCTTAAAAGCAACATGCCAAGTATCAGGATCTCTGCCTTCAAGGTCAGGAGCATCGTCACTTTCTTCTTCAGGGCCTGTCAAAAGATAGGAAAATAATTAGAAACGAAATGTCTTATTTAATATTGTACAATAGTTATTTTAGAAATAATTAAAGTTTTAATATTGATGATAAATTAAGTATACACTGCTTTTGGAGTCCTAGTGTGGCACTGTAAGATAAGCACTGGACTGCTAAGTACAAAGTTAGCGGTTCAAACCCACCAGCCATTCCTTGGAAACCCTATATTGACTCAATGGCATAAAACAACATTAACCTCAGAAGATAAAAGATACATTTGCTCAATTCCAAGAAAAGAAACTAAAGAACATGAATTAAGTGGATAATTTTTAAGGAATAGATTGATTACCAAAGTTGAATCCAAAAGAGGTAACTATCTCCAAGCAAAAATAGAGGCCCAGAGAGTTTTAAAAAGGAATTCTACCAAGCAATTAAGGAATGATAATTTCAAACCCTTTAAATTGTTTAAGAGCACTGAAATTTTAAATTGTCTAAAATATTTCATAGGAAGATACAAAACGATGTATCAAAACTGACAATGAAAGCGCATACATGCAATGACCAAAATTTATAATGAAAATCAATGCAAAATTCCTAAATAGGCAGAAATAAAATCCAAATCAGATAACACAACGAAAGAATACAATTCCATGACAAAGTAGAATTCATTCTAGGAATACAAGGATAGTTCAGTATACAAAATCCAATATAGGCTGTCCCTGATTTTCAACATATTTAACTTATGACAAAACCCACTACAGCCGGCCATCTGTTTTTGGGATCTTGATTGTTTTTTTGTACATCTCATCCTTATCAATATGCACTACACATATGCCACAATGCATAATTTGCGGATAGTATCACTCCAAAATATTCACTCAAAGATGTTAAATGCTATGATTTACTACTGACAAAAATTCTGGTAAAAAAAAATGCAATAATTATTTTTAAATTAAAAAAAAAGAAGTATTCTACTTATATCAGAAACTTTGGAACCTGCTTGAAGTCAAAGATTACCAACGTTTAAAATTCATGAAAATAGCTGATAAAAAGAATTTTCTTAATCACATGTGACTCACCAGAGATACATTAAAGTATGTATTGTTGTTGTTGTTGTTAAGTGCCTCAAGTAGGTTCCAACCCATAGCGACCCTGTACAGGGTTTCCGAGGGTGTAAATCCTTACGGGAGTAGAAAGGCTCATCTTTCTCCCGCGGAGCGGCTGGTAGTTTCGAACCACTGACCGTAAGGTTCGCAGCCCAATTAGTAACCACTACGCTACCACAGCTCCTTAAAGTATGTATAATATATATTATATTAAAAACATATCGAGAAGGGGACCGGCACTTCCCAGACCAGGAAGCTCAGGTAGGGCTCCGGGGAAAAGGGAAGGAATCATACACAGGAAACCTTTGTCTAGCAGACAGACAGCCTTCGAACAAACATAAGATCTTATATTTCAATATTCTGAACTTGTTTTTTTTAAAAGATCAAATTGCTGAAGAATTACAGGCATTTTTGAGCTTTTGCCTGCCTACACGAAGCTCCCGCTTCCACGCCCACGCTGGCGAGTGCCTCTGCCCCCTGCAGACCTTGGAATGCAGGGCTAGAGCAACCCCATGTAGAAGGCTGCATTTCCAGAGAAAAGGAAGCATAAACTATCAAAGCCAAACAAATAGAGAGGGATATCGGCACTGATATCAGGAAGTTCGGGATACCCACGGTATGGAGAGACTGAGAGAGGCATCTTTTACGCCATCAAATACAGACACTACCTCCCTGCAGCCATTACCCCCAGCCCTCTACTGCCCGGCCAAGACCAGCCCTCTGCCAAGCCACCAAGGCTCAGGAACGCCCAAGGCACAGGCCCGCCCACTGAGGCCATGGCCCTCCCAAGGCCTAGACACTCCCACTGAAGCCAAGACTTGCCCTGAGGCCCAACCCACCCAAACACTGGTCACAAAGGCCCAGGCCCAACAAAGGCCCGGTCGCTGCCGAGGTCCAGGGCCCCCAAGGCCAAACCCGCTGCGTAGCCTTTTCACGGAGGCCCAAGGCCCCTGAGGCCCAAGCCGCTGCATAGCCCGGTCGCCAGGGCCCCGTGCCCCTGAGACCCAAACCTCTGTCAGCCCTGTCCCCGAGGCACAGGCCCCCGGAGGCCCAATCTGCCCAAACCGCCCACTGAGGCCCAAGCTGCCCGATGCCCAGCTGCTGATACCTGGGCCCCAGAGGACCAAGCCGCCCGCCCTAGGCTCAACCCACCCGCCTGAGGCCCAAATGGCCCGCCGCCGAGGCCAACTGAGGCCCAAAAAAGTTACTCTGAGTTAAGCAACAAGAAGAGTGAAAAGGGAAGACCACATCCTGATCACATCTTCCTGGAGGTAATCAGAAAACATAAAAAATTACCAAAACACATAATTAATTATTAGGGCCACAGGTAAACATTAAACATGTCCAAGAAGCAAAAGCGGATGACCGTATCGGCACATGTCCAGATAAAAGATAAAATATCTGAGACAAATGAACAAGAAGTAGACCTTCTCTCCATGATGGAAGGAGGGCAGGCCTTGGAGATACCTGAGAAAGAATTCAGAAAAATGATTATAAAATGTCTCAA